TATAATTTTTTATATATATATACTTGTACTTAAAATTGAAGAGCATATTTTATTTTTATTTTTTTCAACATCCTATAAATTGTGTTTGGAAACTTAAATTTAAATGAAGATATTTGGATTTTAAAATTAATATAAAATGTATGATAAAGCATACGTAAATATAAATATTATTTTATAATTATTTTTCAAACTTAAAGATTTATTGAATTTTTATTTAATAGTAAATTTGAAATATTTATACGAATTTATGAATTTTCAAATTCATCTTTTTATATTTTTCAAATTAAATTAATTATTATATTAAATTTTATCAATTTATGCACTCTACAAACATTTTATTCTTATAATTTATATAGTAAATAAAATTCAAATTCATTTTATTAAATTTACATTTCCATGTGTAACATTTTTTATTTATCAAATAAAAGATATAAAAAAACTTATAATTTAGGGAATATATGTTAAAATTAATTTTAAATTTTATTTTGATATATTGAAAACCTAATAATTTGATTGTAATCAACATATTTATATATGTTGAATAATCATTAAATAATTAATTTTAAAAATTTTATTAGAAAGTTCATACTTGTTGATCGACTACTTTTTCTTGCTTCTTTATGCACATGCATTTTAATAGATATTATTATATTATATTTTTTTAGTATTTAAGATTATTAGAATTAGAAATTTGATCACTAAAATTAAGAATTCAGCATTATACTAATAATCTACCTAGTTGTTGGTTATTTTTAGATTATATTTGATGCTAAATTATAAATATAAAAGGTAACATAATATAAAAATCAAATCAATATTAGGTGGTACTAATTTAACGAAGGGTGAAATTTGTCTAAATAAAATAATGAAATTAATAAATTATTTTTATAATAACTATATTAATTGTTTAAATGATTATATTGTTTTCAAATATTTTCAGCTTTTGTTCAAATACGACATAATTGATGACTAATAAATTTTTAAAATATGCTTTTATATGGATTAATTAATTGGAGGTGATTTAAATTCTTTTCTCATATGGTAAAAAGTCCTCTATTTAATATAGTATTGTAAATATTAGAAAGATAATATATATGATTGAAATTTTATTTTTCAATAATAATTTAAATTTAAATTAATTTCATTATTTTTTTTAAATATATAAAAGACAATTTTTTACAAAAAAAAAAAAAAACAACCAATGTGAATTATTTATATTATTGACATGTGAACAATTTTAAAAAAATCATGTTTCCTTTAATAAATATATTTTATTTTATTTGATATATTTTTAATTTAAAACATAATTAAAAAAACTAAATTAATTATACATTTTTATTATTTATCTTAAATCACTTTTATTAAATTCATATTAAAGGTATTAAAACTTTAATTGCCATTATTAATAAATGAAATAATTTTATGTCTCTTTTATCAATTATAAATATTTTACTCTTGAATTATATTCATTAAAAATATACTTTTCAATGTTTTTAAAAGTATGACGTATTGACTCAACCTTTTAAGCTATAAATATATATATATCTAATATTAATTTCAAAATGATTAACAAATTATCAAATCAATTAAAATTAATTTTAATATGTCAAATCAAATTAATTTTATTATAACTATTTCATTAATTTCAAAATCTCTTTTTATTTCTCTCAAGCATTTGAATATATATTATATTTGACTATTCTAATTATTAAGTATAAATTACTTTCCATTTAAGATTTTATTACTCTTGATTTGATTTTTAATTTATTTTAGTCAATTAACCATTTACAAATAAATGTTAATAAGAATCATTGGATGTGTTTTATAATAATAGAAATAAGATATTTTTAATTAAATTTAATTTATCATTACATTTTAAATTTTAAATTTGAAATGCATAATTAATTTTGAATACATACCAATTTTTTAAATTGTTTACATATAAAAAAATATAAATTATTCACATTTCCTTTTTGTTAGAGGTTTTAGTTTTTATATATTTATATAAGATTAGAAGCATATTTTTAATTATATAGATTTTAAAGTTATTATAATTCCCATAACTTTTGTAGAAAAAGATAATGACATAAATTGAGGCTAGAGTTAGAAATTCAAGAAACGTATCTTAATAATTAATAATGTTAATGTTTGGTTTTTGTGAGCGACGTTTGCGTTTAACAGTTGCCTCACTACATTCTTTCTTTTACGTCTTTTGCTTGGTTCCTTTTCAGTTCATTTCAAAGCTACCAAAAGCACATCCATAAGTTGCTCTCTCATCCCTCATTCCACAAATTCTAACTCAGCAACAAGCCTTGAATCAGCAATCCTCTCCATTTCCTCTCTTCATCTCCAAACCCCACAATCTTTGTCTCTCCCATAAATGATGGATCCAATGCCCTCTTTCCGCTTATCAGCTTAAGTAAACACAACCCCATAACCATACACATCCGATTCCTTTCCTTTCTCCATGCATTTTCTGTTAATTATCCATGTAATTTTTAAAAATGAAATACAACAAGTGATAATTTATCCTTTTTTTTTTTTTTTTTGCAGAGGAGCAGAACAATTACCTGGAGCAATTATCAGGACTTCTTTATTCTAATTCGAGTGAAAAATGACCTGGCACTTTATAAACTAACCAATAAATGACAATGGCAGAATAGAGACATGTCAGCCAATTGAAGTTTGTTTGACAGGTTTTTATCGTCTGGTGTGGCATTTTTCGTAAGGAATAAAAGTAGCAATTGAGTGCCCTAATTGGACCAATGAAAAAGTCTCATTTGCAGAAAAACCTTGACAGCCGTTGGGAAGGAAACAATTAGCAACTAGCTAAACTAAAATTAAGCATAAAATAAAGGCAGGGAGGATCGGTTGTTGATTTTGTGCAAACAGTCTTAGTTCGCTGAAGCTTGGGCCAAAATTGAGTATGTTTGTTGTTAAATGGAAGGAATCGACCGTTGAAAGAGTTTTTACATATAGAGGAAGCCACCAATTGGTGAAAGACACACAACAGACGCAATTAACTTCAGCTCCAGCAAGCTCAGTTTCTTAGTTTGATCTTTCTTAAGTTTGCTTTCGTTAAACTTATGTTTGACTACATTATTAACAAACATTACAGAATATTACCTTTAACATTCTATAATATTCGATAATTATATAATAAATGTAATATTAAAAGTTATGATATCATAATTAAAATAATATTTTTTCCTCGATGTAAATACTCTCTATATAAATAGAGATTATACATAATCTTTCATATAAGTTAGAATACAAGTCCACATAAGTTAAAATATTAATAATGTAACCCTTTGAATTTTTTTCTCGTGAATGTAAATCATCATAACCGAATTATATAGTTTTTTTTTTAATATTTTTATCTTGTAATTTTTTCTCTGACAAAATTCATTCAAACAAACGCTATTGTTTAAAATTTAAAGCGCAAGTTTATGTAGCTGCAAGGATAACCAAAAACAAAACCAAACCCAACGACAACGTTTTCTCATTTCAACCCACAAGGGCTTGTGATTCTGAGCAAAGCCTGAAAGAATTCATGGAAAGTACTATAAAGTTAAACGGTCAAATTATGTTAAAATTTTTTATATTTTACGAAAATTTAAAATTTAATCTTTATATTATAATTTATATAAATTTAATCTTTGCATTATTTTAATTTGATAATTTTAATTTAATTACTAATTTTGTCAAATTTTTGTTATTAAAATTATTAACATAACATTAATTTAATAATATGAATTGACTTTATTGATGTGATATTAATTTTGCTATCAAAACATTAACTTTACTAACGCGATGCTAACTTGTTAACAAAATAATTTGAATAAATAAAATCAATTATTAAATAATTCGAATGATTTATATAGTTATACAAAATTTAAAATTTAATCTTTGTATTCATATAAAATTTAAAATTTATTTTTTCTACTGCAAAAATATTTTAAAATTTTTAAAAAATTTTCTAGTTTTTAAAATATTAAATTACTTTTTTAATATTTTAATTCTTTTAATTTTATTTTTTGAAAATTTTTTATATTTTATATTTTATAATATTTAGAAATTTAAAGATATTCTTAAAATTTCCAATATTTTGAAATTTTTGAGAAATTATTTTAGCTTTTTAAAATACTAAACTTACTTTTTTTTAATATTTATTTTTTAAATAAAAACTTTTTTGAGTTTTTTATTTTTTCAAACTTTCTAATGTTATTTAATCAAAATATTTAATTTTTTATTTCTAACCTCTTAGAAATTTTATAAAAATTTTTATATCTTTTTAATATTTAAATAAATAATAAATAGATAAATAAATTTTTAAAAAGATACATGTCTTAAAAATTGTTCTATTTGATATATTAAAATGAAAGAGCATAAAAATTTGAAGACTTAAAAATAAAAATCGTTAAGAACAATTTGTTTTTCACTTGAATAAAATAAAAACAAGTAAAAAGTTTTTTTTAAAACACAAAATATTACAAAATTTTTTGAAAAAATATAAAATTAAAAATATGTAAAAGTTTATAAAATTTTCTTAAAAATTAAAAAATAATGAATTAAATATTTTGTTTAAATAATAGCGTTAAATTTTGAAAAAAAAAATCAAAAAAGAAATTAAAATAATAAATTTAATATTTTTAAAAATCTAAAAATTTTATTAAAAATTCTAAATATTAAAATTTTATATTCAAAAAATTAAAATTCAGATTTCTTATGAATATAAAAATTAAATTTTAAATTTTATGAGAATATAAAAGTCAAATTTCAAATTTCGTGTAAATAAATTATTTATATAATTTAACAACCGATATCATCCATCCATCTTGTTTTGTCAACAAAATCAACACATAAACAAAATCAATGTTGACTTCATAAAATCAGAGATTACCTCAGTATTTTTAACAATAAAAAATTTAACAAAATTAATGATTGAATTAAAATTATCAAATAAAAATAATATGAGAATTAAATTTGTATAAATTACTATATATGAACTAAATTCTAAATTTTGTCGCTATAAAAACTTTTAACACAATTTGATAAGTAAAATCGATCATAAATATTATATTATATTATATATAACCAAAGCAGTAAAAACAACCACTCACCCACCGTTGGAAAATTTTTATTCACTGCAGCATGTGCAAACATAATTAACCACTTTTTTTTTTTTTTTTCTATTTTTCGTTTCTTTTCACCCTACACTACATTTCTCATTTTTCTGCATCAAATGACGTACAAAATCGTCCCAACAAAGAGTTCCTCCAAAAACAGAGCCTATGAAAAACTGGCAGTTAGAACTGTCACCAACAAGCATTTATTCCTAAGAGCTCTCAGCTGAACATCCATAGGACGATGTTTTCACTTTTGACTACTGACTACCACTAAAAGGTTACCTGAAACAAAATTATCAGCTGAAGCACTGTTCACATCCAGCACAGTAGCTTATCCTGCATATAAATCACAGCCACATACATCTCCTAATACTTAATTATGCTTTGAAAATCCTAAGACTTTGCTTGATAGAAAAGATGAAGAGAGATGAAAATTAAAAACTGTTAATCCAATGGTTAATCTACAAAATAAGAAAGCGGACATAAATTTTAATCATTAGATTTAGATTATTAAGTTTACCGTCCCCATTTCTTTCTATCCTTCTTACAAAGCAAAAACCTAAATGTTTAAAAGATTATCGTCATCCCCTCACTTCACTCGGTGTCTAAAGCTATGGCAATGGTTATAATACTTCCTCTTAATAAATGAACCATGATATGCCTTCCTACACTTTTTTCAGATCATAATAGTGCCATGTTATCAAAATCGGGTTTTCTTCAAATGTAATGTATTTAGATCATAGTGGCATACATATTTCCAAAATTGCTCCTATAATTATGCTTTGAAGACCCCTAATATGTTAAAAACATGGCAATCATTAATATGTTTAAAACGTGGCAATCATTTTTTCACTTGACTGGAAGGAATAGTGCCTATCGCTATGACAATGGTTCTAACAATTCCACATATAGAATGAAAAATGGAATGATTTTATGGGTCTTTTAAATCAAATAGTGCCATGAAATGAAACTGAGGATCGTCTTTGAATGTCATGTTAATAATGTAATGTATTTGGATAAACTCCAAATGCATGCAGAGTTATGCGGTTCAATCTAATACAGAAAAACAGAAGTCCAGCATCATGGTATGGTCAATCTTCAGCATGAGGTGGAATAGCACTCAAATTAACCAAAACTGTAGATAATGCGCTACTTCTACAAATATTAAAGTTATCTGAAACCCTAAAAGTAAACCTCGCATAACAAATGCTGCAGACAAATGCATGTCTTAGGTAAATTGATATAACACGAGCATATGGTGTGTTCATGACAGATATGTGCATTCAAACACATGAGAAGAGATACTAATGCTGATGTTGACAATGAAATGGATGCATGTAATAGCTGCAAGATGCATCCTAGCATGTAGCAGTTGTATTTGTCGGAGCACAGAAAACAGAGAATATCCCCTTGATCTACTGGTAAGTCATAGCTGATGGAGCCCCATTTGCCCCAGGAGAAGCAACAAGATGGCTGGAGTCCTTCCTTTTACCAAAAGGATTCTTGGAATATCTATTATGAAGTCAAGAAAGAAAACCATGTTCATAAAAGCATTTATATAATATAGTTACGGATGGAACTTTTAAAGCTAACAACACAACCAAAAACAGGTGCAGAGCCAGCTGGGGCTAGTGAGTGCATTGGAGCACCCTTGGTTTCTCCCATATTTCTTATTTAGCCCCATGGAAGTTGTTCATTTTTCTCACTTAGTTTAACTTAGCCTCCCTTGATTTTCCTAATTTCACTCTTTGACACTCATTTTTACATTGTTTTGCATTCTTGAGTACTTTTTCAGAAAATATAGAATTATATCTTTTAATTTATGAAAAACTATATTTACATTATTTATGTAGTTTCTCAATAAATACGTATGTTATTTTTCATATTCTTTAATTTTTTTTTTCTTTCTAAAGTTATTTCTTACAAGTATATAATTTCTTATATCTTGCATATTATTAACAACGTATGATAACCACAATTACTAGTTTTGAATGTATAACACACAAGAAAGAAAATATAAAATTAAATACATAAGAACATATTTTAATGTTCCAAAATAATGCATACAGAAGTACCACCATCCACAAAATAAAAGAAAATATATAATTCAATTATTAATTTCTAATGAATAAAAGTAAGAATGATAACGCTAACATAAAGAAATAATGGAAAGATTAAAAGTTCATAACATTTTATATTATTTTCTAAAAACATAACAAATTTGTTTTAAAATATAAAAACTATCAAGTAACATTATGTCAGTTGTAAGAATTTAAGAACTGCTCACCCTCTCTTTTTTCCTTTCAAATCCTAGCTCCATCCCTGACCAAAAAGAACTAAAGAATTTCTCCCACCCCAACTATTATTAGAAGTTGAAGTTCTAAGAATCAAAATTTGACATTAAAAACATATCTTGTTCGTGAAAAATGGAGATTTCTGTGGAATGTCATCTTCCAACTTACACTGAGATAACTAAAAGTGGTGGAAGGGGTAATTATTAGGTAGACAACCTATCTGGATTGTAACATACAAGAATCAAGACACATTCCCATGAAATAGCACATGATAAAAGAACAAAAATATATGCAACAGTTGATATAACAAGAAAACAAAAGAAGGAAAAGAAGAACATTTAAAACAGTAAAGCCACAATGAAATGCAAAAAGGATACTGTATTCGCATGCCAACAGAACCAGAACTAGGAATCACAGCACCCTGAAAACTGTGATGCACATTGGTTGCAGTATTCACATCCTGCAAGTTAGGGAAACAAACTTTAAGCTTATGAATAAAACCAATGAAAATTTTGTTCCTTGAATAACTGGTTGCATCCAAGTAGATTAAGAGAAGAAACTTACTTCAAACTCTATAAAGCAAACAGTATGCCTTTCTTGTCTCAAAATCTTCATTTGCTTAAAACCAGGTTGACTGCATGTAAAGCAGAAGTAAGAAATAAACCAGGCTGTCATCAGCAAGCAACCCAAAAGTCAGACAAGACATATAGCAGCTGAGAAACTAGCCAGGGGCTAAGACATTCTTACACACTGAATAGGCCCCTTAGTTCTTCCTCATTAATATTCTCTCCAAGATTGCCAATAAATAAGGTATTGCAAGGAGGATTATCTTTGGTATTCTGCCAACAAAAATTGTTAAAAACAAAGTGAACAACGGAGAAACTGCAAATTTTACTTTGCTACTCATATGACAATCCACTACTGGATGTATCATAATATAGAATAAATATAACACCATTCCACTTCAAACTCTATAGTAAAATATATTCTTGTTATAACAAGGAACAGAAACTTGAGAGAATCAAACAGCTATAGAAGAAAATGTCCACCTTATAGCAAAATGCTATGCTAATATACAAACAAAAAGCTATCATAAAGCAGCTAAGGAATAAGGTGTTTGCTCAAGTTCACCTCAGGCATGTTCCTATTTTAGAAAATTTTCTCTAAGAAATTTCGAAAAATGGAGCAGATCTGACCCTCATCAAGTTTATCAATTTCTTCTACAGAGTACACAGATTCTTTACAGATGCAATTGTTACACCCACAAATGAACCTCCTGCCCATCTCCTTCCCTTTCTAAAACATGAAAAATTGCTGGTTGCAAGGCATGGATGTAAAAATCATGGCTAAGACAAAGATTTTCAAGTTAGATGAGTCCCAAACAGAGATCTTCTTACACATGCAGTATTTGAAGAACAAATTCATCCTTGGTTGTTAAGAATCCATCAATGAAAAGTTAATGCCTCGCAAAAAGCAAAGTGTAATAATCCTAGCAAATATCTTCTTATATCAAAAAAGATTTCTTTGTCTACCAAAACATGTTAGGTAATGATAATAGACTGATAAAAGAGTTCTATTGATGAATAATGAGATTTAAAAAATAAAAAATAAAAAAAAAAACATATAGGGAAAAGTAACTAGCAAATAGTGGAAAATAAAATTGAAATCATTTGTTTATACTTGAACACTTGTACGTAAATAATATACCAAATAAGCATAAGGAAAACTTAATAACAGATGACTAGGGGACATGGACACAAGCATGACACTAAACGAAATAAGGAAAGTCTAACTTTCAACTGCCTGAAATTCATAAACAGGAAACATGGCTACACAATGTATTCATGACAAATTTAAAATGATCTTTAGGTACAAGATGATCTATAATCTTGAATTATGTACGTAGTTTCCATTTACTTCCAGAAAAACCGAACACGATGGATGCGGCATCTAAGTTTCTTAGAAAGAATGAACAGCATCCTCATGAGTTCCAAGCTCTTTGGCAACTTAAAACCAATTTAGTGACATTTACCCACAAAAGCATTGGGCACAAGGGTCATCTCCAGTGTCCAACCTGCCAACTTTTCAGTGGAAGTTCATTGCAAATCCAGGTATATGATAAACTGATAACAAACTTAATATTTATGTTACGTAAAGTCAATTGTTATTAAACAAATAGTAATAACTTGCCATTTCCATAATTTAGAAGGAAATAAATAGCCAATAAAAACTGGTACAAAATCTAAACCAGATGATAAAATGGCACATGGCACATAGAAATTACCTGAACAGGCACATAACTGCTAGGAGCTGGCACAGGTGCAGCTGTAGGCATTGGTGGAGGAGGAAGAGGATAACCTCCATAAGGATCATATGGAGGTGGAGTTGTAGCCATATACCTATGCCAAATACACAAAATATTCAACTTAACAAAAAAAATGCTGTACGTACAGCTGAAATTTTTTACTACTAAGCAAATTTTACCACAGCAGTATCCATCATTATGGAACATAATCTTACCCATGTGGTCCCCAAACAGGAGCAGGAGGGAGGTGAAATGGAGGAGGAGTTGCATAAGCATTGTGTGAATATCACACCAGTTTCGCAAAGATTTTTGCTTTGATTATATGCATTAGAATCTGTTACTATTCCTACAGAATAAATATCACAAAATAAAAGTATGCTCTTACGTGTTACACAGTATGCATGTAATATTATCAGATCATGATGCCCCTCTCTTACTCACCCACTTACACCATTCACACACCCACACACACATTCCAACCCCATTAATGTGAAACATCAAACTGTACATACCTTAATCAATAAATCAAATTTCAACAACAAAAAAGAAAGAACCTAAATCAAAATTCAAACAAATGACAACTGAAAATTTTCTTCCTGCCATTTGGCGCACAATCTTCATAATTGTAGCTCTTTTTTGTCAAAACTCATAATGTCACTCTGTATTACCTTAGGGAAAACAAAGAAAAAGGGCAGGAAATGAGAACACAGAAATTTATCAATTAAAAAAATTAGCTTATCTAAATTAAAGTTTTCAAACTTTTGAATTAACATTCCCAAAGGAATAGCTGTTTCTGAATAAAATATTCAACTTATTTGGGCATAGATTCGATAAGCAAGCTACAAAGAAACCATATAATGATTACAATATAATGCTAACAAATATTTATTTACTTCTTTTTAACATTCCTGCTCTTCCTTATTCTCTGAATTTTAAGACTCCAGATTACAAATATTGGAAGAATGTGGAGAGCATACCTCTAAAATTGATCACATAAAGCAAAAGTATTGACAATCTTTCAGTCACATTGACTCAAAATCTAGCTCCTAAACCTATAAATGTACTACTTTCAAATTTCCTGCTCGCAGTCCTCTTCTGTTCTTTGAACTTCAGGATCATTTGGAACCAAATTACATGTTTTGCATTAATTTATCTTCAGATTAAAACAATTTCTGTCTGTAAATTTCTTGATAACTACACAAAGATTTTTTTTTTTACTCTTGCATTAAACAAGGCATTAAATGATGACTCACCTCTTTTAACAAATAGATTCTTCTTGGCCATCTCTATGTGCAATACAGACTTTGACTCAGCATCAAAAACCATTTCCTAATAACCCCCAGAATCAAACACAATCAGTGCTTCGAAAAAAGAGGACATATCTCAGATGAGTTAATAAAAAAGCCAATTAAACAAATTTATAATACCTGAAGGGAATCTTTGGCGGCAACTGCAAGTTGTGCGCTCGAGAAGAGAGCAAAACCCATAGGCTTTTCTCCCTTGTAGTTCACTTGCGAAGCTTCATAACCCGGAAGCCATCTCAGTAAATTCTGTAGCTCTCTCTCTTTGACGTCTTCAGGAAGACCTGTAATAAAGATAGTCCGAACCTGAATCCAGAACAAATATTTCTATTACTCTTACAATATCCAAGGAAATAGGAATGAACTTGTATGTAGGAAACACAAATACATGCTCCACAAACATTGGTACACACATATAAATGTGTAATAATTACGTATCTACAACAAAACAAAGCTCATTTTGTTTTTACTTCATCCTATTTTCTGCTTCTTCGAATGTTGCTAAAAAGCAAAAGAAAAATCTTCTTTCACTAAAACAAGAACAAATAATTAAACTGTTGCAATGCACATTCAAGTAGAAAAGTATTATTAATTGAAAAACAAAATCACGCAGTTATTCATTGAAAGCTCATAGAGAGAGAGAGAGCCAATTAGGGTTCGTTACCATCGAATCGTGCAATTCAGGCTCAAATCTAACGCTTGAAAAAGAAAAACCAAGGGAAATGGATTCAATCGAGTAAGAGAGAGTTGACCTCGTCATGAGAGGGAGCAGGTGGAGGAGGATGGTGGACAGGAGGCGGAAGTGGAGGAGCGGCCGCTGCAGGGACTGGTGGGGGCGGAGGAGCTGCTGCCGAAGGCCATTGCTGGTGATAGGGGTGGATTCCAGCACCCGCCATGTCAAGAACTCGACAGAGAGTAGAAACCTGAAACCCTAAAACAAGAGCTGAGGTCGGAGAGGGAAAGAAAAATAAATAGATCTAGACTTCTGCAGTAAGTGTTTTTGACCTTATTATAATTTATTAAATAATAACAGTTGGACACAAAAAATTAATATAAATTATTAATTTTTTTAATTAAAAAATAATTAATTATCTATTAATCTGTTAATTTAATTTTAATTAATTAACTTTTAATATTATTTATTAAATAAAATAACAAGAATTTTAAAACTGACAGGATTCTTCTTTTTGTTAAAGGAAATTTAAAATTATTAGGGTTCTTTTTCCTTTTATTATTTTTTTACTATTTTTTTAAAAGATGGATCAAGCACTTTGAAGTCTTATTGCATAGATAAATATAATATATTTATAATTTTTTTTTTAAAAAAGATAATATAATATTTTAAAAAATAATTAAAAATTGGTTAACATAAAAATATAAAAATTATTGTAAAATTAAAATCATTTGACATAAAATGTCTTTAAAATATCATAACACTCTAAGATAGAGTTATGATAATTTTAAATATAATGAAGATAAGAACAAATATAAAAAAAAATATTATTGTAATGTAAATAATTAAGTAAATAACGTAAAAGAATTATTATCCTAAACCAAAAGAATAATTCTAAATCAATAAATAAGTATTAACATAAAAAGATGAGAATAAACATAAAATTGATGTCATTTAACGTAAAATAAGTTAGAAAATCATAACACTGTAATAAAGAGTTGTGATAGTTATCAACGTAATGAAAAAGTAATAACAAGTATAAAAAAATATTATTGTAACAAAAATAATTAAATTAGTAATGCAAAGAAATATTATTACAAATAAAAAAATAATTTAAATTAAATAATAAAAGTTAATGTAAGAATCTGAGAATAATCGTAAAATGAGTAGAGTTTGACGTAAAATAGTTACAAGTATCATTACAAATTAATAAAATATTATGATAATTCTAAAAGTAATGAAAAATAATTACAAGTGTAAAAAATATTATTAAAACATAAATAATTAAATTTGTAATATAAAAAAATTAGTATTATAAATAATAATAATCCGACACTAAAAAATAGGCGTTAACGTAAAAATATAAGAATAATTGTAAATTTGTTTTTTTATGTAAAATGTGTAAAAAAATGTTATAATATTTTAAAAAAAATTATAATAATTTTAAACGTATTAAAAGATAAAAACAAACTTAAAAGATATTATTATAACATAATAATTAAGTTGACAATATAAAAAAATTATTATTATAAATAAAAAATTAAATTAAAAAAAGTTTTAATATAAAAAAATTAGAATAATTGTAAAATTAGAATCATCTAGTGTAAAGTATGTTAGAAGTGTTGTAATGTAAAAAGGTAAGAATAGTTGTAAATTTGATATTACTTTGCATAAATTAGATTAGAATTATTGTAATTTCCTAATAAAGAGTTGTAATAAATTTAAACATAATAAAAAGTAAAAACAAGTGTAAAAAAAATTATTATAACATACATAATATTTTTGGCAATGTAAAAGAATTATTATTACAAATAATTAATAATTCTAAACTAAAAAAATAAGTATTAGCATAAAAAATGTGAGAGCAATCGTAAAATTTATATTATTTAGAGTAAAATTATTAGAAGTATCATAACACCTTTAAAAAAATTGTAATACTTCTAAACGTAATGAAAAGTAACAACAACCGTAAAAAATATTATTATAATATAAATAATTAAGTTGACAATATAAAAGAATTATTATTACAAATAAAAAATAATTTTCAATAAAAAGTTAAAAATAAACGTAAAATAGTAAGAATAATCATAAAATTTGTATTATTTAACGTAAAATAGTTAGAAATATCGTTACATCTTAAGAAAAAAATTGTAATAATTTCAAATGTACTGAAAAGTAACAACAAATATAAAAATATATATATTATTGAAACATAATAAGTTAGTAATGTAAAAAAATTAGTATTATAAATAAAAAAATAATTCAATAAAAAATGTTAATGTAAAAAGATGAGATAATCGTAAATTTGGTATCATTTGATATAAAATATATTAGAAGTGTCATAATACTTTAAGAAAATTTTGTGATAATTTTAAATATAATAAAAAATAAAAACGAGTGTAAAGATTTTATTGTAACGTAAATATAAGTTGACAACATAAAAAAATTATTATTATAAATACAAAATAATTCTAAACAAAAAATATAAATTAACGTAAAAAGATAAGAATAATTGAAAATTTGAAATTATTTTATGTAAAATATGTTACAATGTCATAACGTAAAAAAGATAAGAATAATTGTAAAACTAGTATTATTTGGTATAAATTGGGTTATAAGTGTCATAACACCTTAACAAAAAATTGTGATAATTTTAAATGGAATAAAAAATAGAAATAAGTGTAAAATAATTATTATTGTAACATAAATAATATTTTTGACAACATAAAAGAATTATTATTACAAATAAATCATAATTTTAAACAAAAAAAAGTGTTAATATAAAAAATGTGAGAGTAATTGTTAAATTAATATCATTTGACGTAAAATAGTTAAAAGTATCGTAACACTTTAAGAAAAAATTATGATAATTCTAAATGTAATAAAATGTAACAACAAGCATACAAAGATATTATTATAATGTAAATAATTAAATTGATAATGTAAAAAAATATTATTATAAATAAAAAATAATTTTAAACAAAAATAAGAGTTAACATAAAAGGGTAAGAATAATCAGAAAATTGGTATTATTATACATAAAATAGTTAAAAGTATTGTTACACCATAACAAAAAATTTGTAATAATTTTAAATGTAATGAAAAATAACAACAAACGTAAAAAGATATTATTGAAACTTAATAAGTTTGTAACATAAAAAAATTAGTATTATAAATAAAAATAATTCTAAATAAAAAAATAAATGTTAAAGTAAAAATATGAGAATAATCATAAAATTTGTATAATTTGACGTAATATATATTTAAAGTGTCGTAATATTTAAGAAAAAGTTGTGATAATTCTAAATATAATAAAATGTATGAACAAGTGTAACATCTTATTATAATGTAAATAATTAAATTGACATCATAAAAAATTATTATTATAAATAAAAAATAATTTCAAGTCTAAAAATAAATGTTAACATAAAAAAATAAGAATAATCATAAAATTTGTATAATTTAACGTAAAATATGTTAAAAGTATTATAACGAACAAATATGAGAATAGTCGTAAAATTAATATCATTTGGTGTAAAATAAGTTAAAACTATTGTTGCACCCTAACAAAAAGTTGCGATACTTTTAAATGTAATAAAATATAAGAACAAAGTAAAAAATATTATTTCAACGTAAATAAGTAAGTTGACAACATAAAAAAATTATTATTATAAATAAAAAATAAGTGTTTACGTAAAAATGTGAGAATAATCGTAAAATTTTTATCATTTGGCATAAGTGTATTAGAAGTGTTGTAACACTTTAAAAAAAGTTGTGATTATTTTAAACATAATAAAATATAAGAATAAGTGTAAAGATATATTATTATAACGTAAATAATTAAATTAGTAATGTAAAAATTATTATATAAATAAAAAGTAATTCTAAACCAAAAAATAAGTGTTAAAGTAAAAAGATAACAAAAGTGAAAATAATCGTAAAATTGATATTATTTGATGTCGTAATACCTTAAGAAAGAATTATGATAATTCTAAATAAAACAAAAAGTAAGAACAAGTGTAACAAAAAATTAAAGTAAATAATTAACTTGACAATATAAAAGAATTGATATTTTTAAATTAAAAGATTCTAAATAAAAAAAAATTGTTCATGTAAAAATATGAAAATAATCATAAAATTTATATCATTGATGTAAAATGAATTTGAAATGTCTTATCCTCAAAAAAATTTTAATAATTCTAAATATAATGATAAAAAAGTATAAAAATATATTATTAAACGTAATTAATTAAGTTGATTTCATAAAATAAATCGATATTATAAAAATAACAAATATATCATTATTAATTTGATAAATTAATAAATTAAATAAAATTATGTATACTTTTTTAATGTTTACCTACTAACTTGTATACTTTTTTTAATGTTTACCTATTAACCTATTAATCTGTTAACTTGTTCTGCCTTTTTTCCTTTTTTTTAAAGTTATATTATTCTTACAATTTATTATGATATATTATAAGATATCATGATATCATGACCTTAGAATAAAGTTGATAACATAGGCATTTTAGCTCATGATGTTTACATGCTTGAATTGTTCCTTCGATTAGGGTCTTATTTGAATTGGTTTGATTTTTTAAGTTCTTTTATTATTGTTGTTATTGCATTGATTACTCCAATTATTAGGAACTATTAACAAGTTCAATATTTAGTGCTGGAAATATTGCAAGGGGGTGGGGGTAGTTGTTGGGTTGAACTTGTCACTTGTTGTTTAAGGTGCAGAGAACATCGGGTGTTTGAAAAGAATCATTGTTGTTAGGAAGTTAAAGTAAAATATAAAAAAATAACATCCTTTAAGTCTAGCTTGAACAATGGTAGTTTCTTAAATTGCTAGCAGGAAATTTATCTCATTTTTATTTGTAGTTGAAAAAGGAAAGGAAAAGGAAAAAAAAAGAAAAAAAGGGAAATCAACAAAAAAATCAATTGGAAAATTAAAAGGAAAGATAAGCAAAGTAATTACTAGAGTTCTTTGCAAAATGAATGGAAAAAACACTGCTAAAAAATACAAAATGATGTGTTTCAATTTTTTAGTTAACTTTTAAAAATTATATTTTCAAAATAATAAATTTAGATAATTATTTTACAATGATTTATTAGATAAGCACTGCTAAATTTTAAATTTTAGTGACGTTTTATGATCCAAGTGTAGCTAAATTTTAAAGGTTAATGGTGTTTTATGCTTCAAAAACTGTTACATATTTATTTAGAACTTTTTAACCATTGGTAAAGGAAAATTTTGTTGAAAGATTAAACTCTCAAAATAGAAAAAATTGTCAAGATATGTTAAACATTGGTAAAGA